AGAACACCATTTTCCTGGAGCCAAGGTATCCTGGGGTGGCCTCCCTGCTCCCTGGGGGTCTAGGCTCGGTTCACCTTCAGTGGTACCCTGGGAAATATCTGGAGCGGGAGCTGGGGACATCAGGTTGCAACGCATCCTGTGCCAAAGACAGCTGAGTGACCTTGGACAAGGGATCAGCTTCTGAGCTCAGCTAACCTCATCTGTAAAGTGAGGTTATTAATACCTCTTTCACAGGGTTGTTATAAGGATTAAATGAGAAAATGTTTGTGAAAGGGCTTTGCATGTTACCCACTGTCATGCAAACCTTCATCAGTATTGCTATCATCTGTTGTTCTAAATGAGAGAGTGAATCATTTCAAGCCCCTTATCCAAGGAGACCCTCAGCCCAGCACTGTCTGCTCCACCTCTGCCGGGCCTTCCCAGCCACTGCACCCCCAGCACGGGTCTCCATCAGACCAGTCTCCTCCCGTGGCCTCATACTTGTTCCTCTGGCTGTGTGTCTCTAAGGGACCCTCCTGCCTTGAAGATCTCCCTCTGTTTTCATCTGTCCATATCCATTTCCTTCAATACCAACTCCCACCTCCTCTAGAAAATCTTCCCTCCGACAAAGGGGCTGGGTTAAGACAAGTTTGCCCTCTTCCCTCAGCCAAGCTACCTATACCCCCACAGCCCCAAGCCAAGTTCAGCATAGTGCTTGGTAAATCTGGATGGATGATGATTGACAATAATGATGATAATGTATTAGATTTAATAACAAAAACAGCTGATACTTTGGGAGCACTCAGTATGTGCCAGGAACCATGCTAAGCATTTTACACAAGATAACGTACTAGTATTTATTGCATGCCAGTTGGCCATGGGTGTTTAAAGATCTGCCTGTGGACCCCAGAACTAAAGGTTGACCCCAGGCAGAATTAATATCTCTGACCCCTTTTCTGTTGACCCCAGGCAGAATTAATATTTCTGCCTCCATGCCCACAGTCTATTATTGACCTAATTTTACTGGCTTTTAATTATTCATTGAAGTGGCTGTCTCCTCTTCAAGTCTGTGAACACCTTGAGGGCTAGGGCCCCATTTTATTAATCTTTATTAGCCTTAGCATCCAACAGTGACTGGCACATAGTTGCTGCTCATTAAGTGTTGGTTGAATAAATGCACAGATGAATGGAGTAATTAACACCATCTCCCCTGATGTCCACGCACTTTTAGAAGCTGCCATTTCCCTGACCTCATACTTCAGAATCATTCTAGACCAGTGCTAGTCCAAGCATGACCTGTCTGCAAACTATTTGATGCCAGTTCATGATAAGGTAAGCACAGAAATTGAGTTAGACATTTTAGAGCAATTTGACCGAGTGTTTTATGTTCATTAGACCTAATAGTTTTAAAGATTGAACATTTATTTTGTATGTCTTTCTTCTTAGGTCATTTTCTTAGTAATTCATCCCCCACTGTATTTTGTGATAGTATCATTCTACAATAGATTAGAAATTTAAAAATCAATAGCCTTTTCTTTGGCACAAGTAGGCTGAGAAGTATGGTTCCAGATCGTCGACCTCACTGGAATATTCATGGTTAAAGCCAATGAAATTCTGTAGACTCAGCCCTCACTTGCTGGGTCCTACCTATCACTACTTGTTACCACATCTGAAGGACATGGAATTGTCTTTTATTCCTGTTCAGATTTCTCATATTTTCCCTTTTCGCCCCCTTCCTCCAAATCTGGCAGGTTAAAGGAATGAAAGCTGTCAGTGGTATGGGCCTAACCAGGAAGAGGAGAAGAACAGAGAGAGGTCAGAAGAGAGTTTGCAAAGGGTCAAGCTGGGAAGAGAATGCTTGAATGGAGCAGAAGGCTGCTCTGAGGAGGGTGTGGAGAGGCTGCCTAAAGAGATCACCCTAAGCCAGCAGGCTGGAGGGGCTGGAGGAGGGGGGAGTTTGAAAGGGGGGAAGCATGGAAGGCCTTGGCAAGTGGCATCTGAGCGGATGAAAGTTGGGATCTTGAAGGTGGAAGGATGCAGTTTTGGGACAAATGAAAGGAGATATGGAATCCTTTCTCAGAAGGGGTGTTAAACACGAGGCTCTCATAATCCCCCTGGGGCAGTCAAGGCCAAAACCATAAATAAGTAGGTCATGAAGTGATACAGTAGCCTTCTTCCTCTCAGCTCAAGGGGGAAAAAGAGGATAAAATGTGCCATCTGTAGCTGCCACTTTAGAAAGAGAAGGTCTGAATCCCAGGCCAAAAAGGCAGCAAGAGAAAGACTTGATTACAGTCTGATCGATGGCATTACCATATTTAAAGATCAAGTCAGAGGAAGATTAAGGGGCTCAGAAAGACAAAAGTTGATGATGTGTAATAAGCAGAGAAAAACATGAAATCTTGAAATCTGGAGCTGTCTGGTCCAGGAGAGCCAGCTCCAAGGTCTCGGGCAGGGCTGGGGAGCGATGCCTCTGCAGTGTCTGGGCAAACCTCCCTGAGGACCGCCAGCTTTCTCTCCTCTGATTCCACAATCTCCTGCTGCTGTGACCTTCTCATCAGGAATTCTGCTTTCCACAAAGAATTGCCTAGAGGGAGGGACCATGCTGCACATCCATCTGAGCATCTGGTCACCTTGATAATGATGATGATGATGATGACGATAGGGATGGTGACTATAGCTAACCTTCTTTATGCCCTTGTTATGGACCAGGCACCAGTCTTAGCCATTTAAAAATAATAGTTCATTTAAACCTACCTAACCCCATTTTAAAGACAAGAAAATTGGCCCAGCCAGTGTGGTTCAGTGGTTGAGCATCAACTCATGCACCAAGAGGTCACCTGTTCATTTCCAGGTCAGAGTACATGCTGGTGTTGCAGGCTCAGTCCCCCGTGGGGAGGGGAGCATGTAGGAGGCAACTGATCTCAATGTTGATGTTACTCTCTCATCTATCTATCTATCTATCTATCTATCTGTCTGTCTGTCTGTCTATCTCTCCCTCCCTCTTGCTCTCCCTCTAAAATCAAATTTTAAAAAAATATTTAAAGATCAGAAAATTGAAGCACCATTAAATAAGTCCCAGGCTCATTCAGCTTGTAAGCAGAAGAGCCAAGCCTCAAACTCAGGCTGTCTGACTCCAGAACTGCACTACACTAGACCACCTGCCAATTTTGTGGAGAACGATAAATTGGCAATCTGGTTGGTACACTCATCTCTTCTGGGATTGGTTGGGGTAAGTCAGTGCCAAATTCAGCAAGACCAACTCTGGGGCACTAACCAAATGGGGGTTCTGCAAGACTCTAGACTGAGTGCTTTAGCCAGAAAGTGCCACCCTGTGTGGCTAAGCCAGTGTGACCAGCTGGCATCCAGACAATGTTCCTCCCCACTTCAGAGCCCCAAACCTCATCAGGGCAGGTGGAGCTGGGAATCAGGAGGCTGAAGGCTAGGCTTACGAGCTCAGTGGCTTTGGACACCACCATCTGTGGGCCTCAGTGTCCTTGTGAGTTAATTGCATATTGGATCAAAAACCCTCTTACAATAACTCCCTTTCTAAATGAAGAGCCAGTTGGACCCATGAACGCGCTGGCCCTGGCTCAAATGTGCTGAGAAGTGGGTGGAGGGGAGGAAGAGGGTGAGCACGGCAGGTCACAGAGCCAGGGCAGTTAGGTTCAGATGACTTCAAAGCCACCACTCTGGAACCGCGCTCTGCCTAGAGAAGGAAAAAAGAGATAGGAAAAGCCAGTTCTGTCCAGCAGGAAGCGCTGGAGGAGACGTGAGCTGCTCTTGGGAGATAATTAGCCCAGGCGGATGAAGACCCGAGGTATGGCCAGGAGGCTGGCTGACTCTACCCTGGAGGTTCGGCCAAAAGGGGGCGCTGTGGTCTCCTCCCTGCCCTGCCCCTGGATTCCTAGTTGCTTTTCCCTGCTCTAACGCATTGCGCGCCCCGCTGTCCCTTCTGCAGCGTTCAGTCGCCGGCTAGTCTTACAGGTCACCGCCCTCTACCCCTTTCTTGGGGTTACCAAGTCCAGCCCCTGGGCAGGCGTTTAGTTTGTTGAATGAATAAATGAATAAATGAACGAACGAACGAGCAAACAAATGAATTAAAATGAATGAGTGAATGAATGAATGAATGAATGAATGAGAAAGGTACCCTCGCAGAGCTTTCCCCGTCTCTGCGTGCACCCGGCGCGTCCATGCTGAAGGCGCTGGGGGTAGGGCCCAGAGCCCCCGGCTGCAGTGAGGGCTGGCGGGACCCTGTCCTGGGCGGCTGCAGGGCGGGAACGGCTCAAACGCAATGCCCATGTCTTCACCTGGTTTCCGAGGAGGCTCTGCTCAGTCTGGGCTGCCCTATTCTCCAGCCTCCAATAGCCTCTCTCTCTCTCTCTCTCTCAGATATGCCTGGGTCCCCCAAGTCTCCTCCAGACTCCTTGGACTCCCCAGGCCCCTAGTGAAAGTCGGGGGGGGAAGTGGGAGGCCGCCTCCTTTCCCGTCCTCTCCATCCCCCCTCCCCACCCCTCCCAATCCCTGGCTTCTCCCTAGACTGCGGCGGCCGCCACCGCTGCCAGCGAGTCCCGCCGGTTGCTGCAAACCCGGGCGGGCGGGCGCAGGGAAAGGGGGTCAGCGCGGCTGGGGCGCTCGGAGCAGGCCCGGGGGAGAGGAGAAGACTGGGAGGCGGGAGGGAACAGAGGGGGAAGCACAGAGGAGGGACCGAAGTGGAGGGGAGACGGAGAGAGGGGAGGGGAGGGGAGGAACGCCGCGGAGAGGGGGCGGGGAGCCGAGGCGAGTGGCTGGGCGGATCGAGGGGGAGGCGGCGGAGGCGAGGCGGGCTCCGGGCGGGCAGGAGCTAAAGGAGAGCCGGACTTTCGTAGGAAGGGGAGAGCGAGAGCCTGCTGGGCCGGCGGGGCGGCGACAGAGGAGCCCAGCCGCTCACCCCGCCCGCCCGCCCGAGCCCGCACCCCCGCGCGCGCTCCTCTGGGATGTCCGAGGGACCCGGGCGCTCTGCACGGTGACCGAGCAGCCCGAGGATGGGACGGCGCCCGCGGCTCCGGCTCCTCAAGGTAAGCGAGAGCCGGCCCGCCCTCGAGGCGGCCGCCCCCAGCCTGGGGCTGGCGCGGGACGTGGGTGGACCGTGGATGGATGGGGGGAATCTCTGGACAGCGCTGAGCCCAGGTCTGGGCGCGGCCGGGGTTTGAGGGGCAGCTCCAATCCCTCTCTCTCTCTGGACCTTTGGAGCCGGCATGGGGTGGGTGGGGGAGAACCCAGGTGAAAAAAGGAAGGAATCGTGCTGGCAAAGCTGCCGGGATGTTGTCGGGGGAGGGGTCCGCCCACCCGGGGAACCAGCTCCGTGAGGAGACATCGCTTTAGGCTTTGCAAGTCCTAGCTTGGTTCCAAGTCCTACCCACCCCTCCAATGCAGACCTGGCCCGGGACTGGGGGTTCCGGAGATGGGCTCCGCACGCGCCTACCGGCCCCAGCACCCTTGCATGACTCCCCCACTCTGCACACCCCGCCCTGTCTCTTCCTGCCCCTTCCCTCCGCGAAGAGCTACAGATCCGAGGAAATAAGTGTCCCCCGTGCCTCCGAGCCTTGGAGCCTTGGAGCCATATCGCAGTGTCGGGGAGGAGACGGTGCACCGGCGCGGGGTGCAGCTCCTCTGGGCGCCGGCCCCCGCGGGAGCGCAGCCTTAGCACTCGGTCCCCGAGCTGCGCAGTCGCCAGCGCCGGCTCCTCCTGCCCCGGGTCTGGCGATGCGATGATGCTGGCGCCCGGAGTTTAGGAAAGTCGCCAGCCCGCAAGTCCAGCGTCTGCCGGCTGAAGTTCGGGGCGGGTGGGGGGCAGCCCTCGGGCGGGGTGCGTCGGGAAGGGTTAGGGTGGACAGGGTCAGCCGCCACTGGCCACTGCCCAGCGTTTTTCCAAAGCGGATCCGCAGCGCGGGGTGTGGGCACGCCAGCCCCAGACGGAGGGAGAGGCGGGTGGGCCTCCGCGCTGCGGCCCGAAAGCTCCCCAGGGCTCCCGCCTGAGGATCCGGGCTCCGCAGGGTCCAGGGTCTGAGCCTGCTTGACTGGGTTCAGTGCATTGAAACGCGGTTACGTTCACAAGAATTGAAGGGGGGGGGGGGGAAGCGACTTCATTTCATTTCCATCTGTTATTAAACCAACTGTACCTATACCAAGTCACAAAGTGGTTGGAGTGACACCACGAAGATTTGAAAACGGAACTGCTGCCATTCCATCAAGTTGAGATCTTATGAGTTTACTGGGGCTTCTCCATCTTCTTTCCCCCTTCTCCCAAATGTTTATAAGTTCTTTTTTAAAATGACTCAGGGTTCCCCAGCCCAGGTGGCTCAGTGGTTGAGTGTCCACCTATGAACCAGGAGATCACAGGTCTCAGGGCATATGCTCAGGTTGCTGCTCCATCGCCAGCATGGGGCATGCAGGAGGCAGCTGATCAAGGATTCGCTCTCATCATTGATGTTTCTCTCTCTCTTTCTCTCTGAAATCAGTAAAAATATTTTTTTAAAATACATAAAATGACTGAAGGTTGGTTCAATGGATCCCATATCCCCTTCACCATCCATTAACTGAGGATGGGGTGAACCCAGAGATTATCTTCTGGGTGATCAAGAAGAAGGGAGAGGGAAGGAGGAAGGAAAACACCCAGAGAAGTTGAAGAGGTGGCATTGAATGGCAGGCAATATTCTTCAAAAGGCTAGTGTGACTACATTCACAAATCAGACCAAATTTGATGTTTTAAATGGATTCAAAGGATTGAACTGTAGGGGTTTTTCTTTTTGTTCCTTTTTAAGTTTACTTGCTAACACGTAGACGTTCTTTCTTTGGCCTTTGTTAGAATCGTGCACAAATCTCTGCTTAGAATTATCACGTTTTTCTAAAAGAAAATATTTTTTTTCCGTTGATGCCTATGTGTTTTTCCTACTAGATGGTGAAGTGATGGTAATGAATTCAGTAAGTACTCAATAAATACTGAATGAGTGAGAGGCAGTGAATGAATGGCCAAATGCTGGTTGCAGTTAAGTAATCATTTTTCTTTCTTTTATTTATGTACCATGGAGAACATACTAGGTATTCTATATGCTTTGGGGGGGGGGGGGGGGAAGCCGCTTAGTCCTCATAAAAGACCTTGGAAGTAGTAGGAGTTATTACTGAGGCACAGAGAGGCTATGTAATTTGCTCAAAGTGACACAGCCAGTGAGTGTTGAAGCCAGAATTTAAACCCAGGCACTGTGGCTGTAAGCTGTTGTTTTGTTAGCTTTTATCAGAAAAACATTATAAGCTACTTACTTATATTTCCCCCTCTGCCTGATGAGAGCGCAGGTAATTCGTTGGCATGGAAGTATGAATCTAGGGGAGTTAATCCAAAATCCAGCTCTGTCCCCAACAAGTCAAACAGTGTTGGGGAAGAATCCACACGGGGACCCTGAACTGGGTACAGAGAACTGGAGGAGAGTATTGAGACAAGAACACATGAGTGTGTGTTTGGGGTGGGGGGAAGGGGTGAGTGTGCGTGAGAAAATGTTTGTGTGTGCATGAGAGAGTGGTTGTGTGAATGAGGGAGAAATGAGGTGTGCTTGTGTTTGTGGATGTGAAGGAGGAAACAGGTGAAATATTATCTCTATCCCCAGGGGAGGGGCTATGGAGCACCCCTAAGTCACCTACCCACCAGCCACAGCTCCTCAAAGGGGGACCCCAGTGTAGCTCAAAAACTGTGGGTTCTGGTGAGTGTGACGGGTGGATTATTAAAGGAGAATGAGTTTTGAGGAGGGAACTGGTTTTATTGCTGTTGTCATTATTATAAAAGCAATCTAACTGCATTACACAAAGTTTGGAAACTGGAGGATAAAATTATTGCAACCTCACCCTCCTAACACAGCTGTTACCATTTAAAGATAATCCCTGCAGCCCAGCTGGTGTGGCTCTGTGATTGAGCGTCGACCTATGAACTAGGTCACCTTTCAGGGCACATGCCTGGGTTGCCCAAGTAGAGATCTTGCAGGAGGCAGCTGATTGATGTTTCTCTCTCATCGATGTTTCCATCTCTCTATCTCTCTCCTTTTCTATCTCTAAAATATCAATTATTTAAAAATAATATCCCTGCAGGCCCTTTTTCAAGTGCAGGTTTGGCCATCGGACACACCTTCTCGCTTACTGTTTCACAGCCTGGGTCTGTCCCATGTTATTCCTGAGCTTCCAGGGGGAGATTGTCAGCATCTGCGTATTCCCTGTGAATGGATGTTCTTTGCATCCCTATATCGGTGCACATTTGGGTCATTTCCAAATTGTTTCTTTGCAAGCTGGGTTTTTGAGGGGAGCATTGGCAGGAGGGATACCAAGGGAAAATGAGTGAACCCACTGTGGGGCCATGGGCTGCCATGGGGTGTGAGGACAACTGGCCTAGCTACGAACCAGAAATAGGGAAGGGGGCTGACAGCCAGGCCACGCCGTTCCCATTTGCTATGGCCAGCCCTGGAAGGGCATGATGACTCGGGCCGGTCCAGTTCTCAAGGAGGGCACAGATTAATGGAAAAGCAAGGCACTGGCCAGTGAGGACGAGCTCAGGTGGAAAACCCATGCTGCACTCTCTCTAATGTTTGGCTCCTTGGAGAGCATCAGCAGCCAGCAGGGTTCAGCGGCACAGGAGTCTGGAAGAGGGAGACCATTTTGGAGCTGAGGCCAAGTTGCGATTGTAGCTCCAGTGTTATATTCAAAGAATGGGTTTGTTAGTGACAAATGACTCCTGTATACTTAGATTCTTGGGGTATCCTATCAGCAGAGTCCCTTGGAAGTCCTTTTTATTTTATTTTATTTTTCTTTTAAAAAATATATTTTATTAATTTTTTACAGAGATAGAGAGCTAGAAACATCGACTAGAGAGAAACATCGACCAGCTACCTCCTGCATATCCCCTACCGGGGATGTACCTGCAACCAAGGCACATGCCCTTGACCAGAATCAAACCCAGGACCCTTCAGCTCTATCCACTGAGCCAAATCAGTTTCGGCAATCCTTTATTTTTATTTATTTATTTTTAAATATTTTTATTGATTTCAGAGAGGAAAAAAGGAGAGAGAGATAGAAACATCAATGATGAAAGAGAATCACTGATCTGGCTGCCTCTTGCATGTCCCCCTAACCCCCACTGGGGACTGAGCCCGCAACCCAGGCATGTGCCCTTGACTGGAGTCGAACCCCAGACCCTTCAGTTCACAGACTGACGCTCCATTCACTGAGCCAAACCAGCCAGGGCCATCAAGTCCTTTTTTAAATGCTGGTCTTTGGACTTGTTCTCGGCCAGCCACCCCTCACTCCATTCAATGTGACAGCATCTTCTTGTACAAATGAAAAACATCAGGTGAAGCAGATCTAGTCTCGAATTCTGACTCTACTATGAAGCTCTAGGCAAATTAGGTTATCACTCTAAACCTCAGTTTCTTTGTCTGCAAAAAGGGGGAAAATAGAACCTACTTTATGAAATAATCAGAATAACTTCATGAAATGTCAGGTGTGGAATTAAGCACAATTGCACAGTGTCAGGCACATAGTAACTGCTTAATAGATATTAGGTAGAGTAGGCACATAGTCAATCTTACCAAATTTTATCAACCCAAGGAAAACCATCACAAGGAGGAGTTGTGAGGGGATAGGAGGTGGAGGAAGGAGTGGTTGGTAGTGTAAAATCCCCTGCCCCAGGTCCTTTGGACAGTCCCTGGGGAAAAAGGATGGTGCCACCTGCTGTCAGCTGAGCTCAAAGGTCAAAGGACTGATGTACCTGCAATTGGCCCTTTGAACATCTCCGATATGGGACAATAAAAATAGAGACATTTGACAACAAAAACAGGGATATGTAAGGAGGGTAATACAAGATGACTAACTCACTGGTACAAATAATTATTTTGAAAACAATTAGCTGGGTTCTATTAAGCAACAGATTATTTTTTTAATTTTTATTGAATTTACTGGGGTGATGTTGGTTAATAAAAATATATAGGCTTCAGGGATACAATCTATAATACATCATCTATATGTACTGTGTGTTCACCAC